AAGTAAATTCCAAACCTTTATGTATACAGAGAAATCCTGTTCATAGAACAGGAAAAGTTGAGAAAGTCCATGGGAAAACTGGACAAAGGGTAGCAGCAGAGATGGCTATGAATTCTCATGCCACTTCCAGAGAGTGGTTGTCCAACCCGGCACCATCTAATGATGTTATATGACTGTCTCACTAATGAAGTGACCATGTCATTGCCAGAGCTGAGGAGGCTATGGGGACTGTGCTGCCTTTCCACGCCTCTTTCTGAAGCACAGGCGAAGAGCCCAAGATGGGCAGAGCCATGTGCCCAAGTCATCTTCTGCCTCCCACACATCTTCATTGTACTGTTGCAAGGATGAAAAAGAAGTTGCTATTATTTTACCTCCAGAGAATATGAGCTTAATTTTTAAATTGAATTATATGCCCCAGATACAGAACACAAAAACACAGTTCACAGAAATGAACAGCCCTACAGATAATGAACTTCCCCAGCAGTCAAGAAAACACAAACAAGGGTAAACCACTTAAAAAAAAATCAAATTGAAAAAACTTAAATGCAAAGCACAGAGCAGTTGTGATTCAAGGAAACAGGCACTGGGGTGTCGAGCTGTGTGGCGCTGTGATGCTGGGGGAGCAATCCACAGTGTACATATAGTTTTACATATATGTGTGTGTGTGTGTAAAACATACATACACACATATATGTGAAAGGGAATTGAATAACAGTCTATGAACATTGATTGCCTAGAGGACTAAAAAGTAGTTAACCTGCTTCTTTCACTATCTTTGCATCATTTCACCTCTTATAATTCGCTGAATTATAATAAAATTTCTCAAAAACACTACAAGATAAAGTTTGCTTGACATAGCCTCTCTAACACAGTTATGGATGTTGGATGTTTTCCTTGAAAATGCTGTCTCTGTTTTTTAAGATTTATTTTTAATTATCCGTGTGTACTTGTGTGTTGGTGTGTGCACATGTGTACAGGTGCCTCTAGATGCCAGAAGAAGGTGTCAGATTCCCCTGAAGGTGGAGTTACACTTGGGTATGAGCTGCCCAACATAGGTGTGCTGGGAACCAAACCCAGGTCCTAAGCAAAAGCAGCAAACACTCTTAACTTCTGAGCATCTCTCCATCCATAAAATGCTATTTTTTTAAAATCATTATTGTAATAGGACTTTGGGAGGGCAGGTACGTTACCTACCACTTGCTCTATAATCTCCCTTCCAGCACCCATCCCACTGACTCCACGGCCCAGCTCCTCTGTCTACACTCACCCAGTTCTTCTGCCCAGCACACTCCACTCTGCACATGCAGAGCCTGGCTAAGAATCAGTGGATGTGAGAGCTCACTTGTGGGACTGTTCGGAGGTTAGGCAACAAGGCATGTAAATTCCTGGCTTTGCTTTGTTTATTTGGGATGAGAGGCCATGTGATTTGTGACTAGGTGTAGTGGTATAGGTGTAGTACCCAGAGACCAAGACAGAAGAATCATGAGTTTGAGGTCAGCCTGGGCTGCTTTGTAACTTTGAGGCTGGTGTAGATTCCATAACAAAACACTGTCTCACAAACAAAAATTCCCTCCATTGTCCTAAAGATTTATTTGTTTGTTTTTATTTTGTGTGGATGAACGTTTGTCTGCTGGCCAGTATGTTCACCGTTTGCCTGCAGGTACCCCCGGAGAACAGAATAGGGCATTTGGATCCCCCAGAACTTGAGTTATAGGCAGTCATGGTGAGCCCTCTAGGTGAGTGTCGGGAACCAAACACGGCCTCTGCAAGGGCAGCAAGTGCCCATAACCACTGAGCCACTTCAGCCCCCTTTATTACCTTAAAAGAGGTCTGTGTGGTGGAACATTTTCAGTGGCTTGATAATTCTTGACTCTTTGCTGGCAACCCACTTGAAGATTTTGCCTTTTTTGTTGACAGCACAGGCCAGGAGCCCTCGGAAGCCATTGACCTACTTTCTAATTGACACCCATCACCTTGACGTAAGTTACAGGGGCAGATTACAACAAGCAGTGGGATGGGTGGGAACAAGCTAACTTGAATCTCCCCCGAGCCCCCCGGTCAAGGAGCAGGCACAGCACATGCACATGGTGTCTTACCTGGGCTAGCTAAGTGGAGCAGCACTCCTTCAAGGATGAACAGGTCACCTGTTGAAGGTGAGCCGAGAAAGCACGTCCCTGAGATTGCTAATGGAATGTGTCAAGGGAGAAGGAGGAAACAGCAGGGTAAGCACAGAGAGTTCTTCTTTGGGAGCCACTGAGAGCACATTGTTCCCATTGCAGATCCAGAAGGAACCGCTGGGCATCCTGGTGTCCTGTGGCCTGTCTATCCCCAGATCAAGGCAAGGGTTCTTTTTCATAATGCGGGAGATGGAGAGATCATCACTTCTACAGAAATCGTTGTTGTCATAAACGTGTGTTTTCTCAACTCAGTAGCACAATGGCTAGCAGAGGGACCTGCAGTGGCCTTCATGATCTGCATACAGCATGTGTCACCAGCACCTGCCAGGAGGAAGGCGCCCGACAGCCTGACCTCCCTGTGCCCGTGAAACAAACAAGTCAAAGGAAGATTAAAGATTACCGAGGAACTCAGGTAAAAGCAATGATGGAGAGCCCCACTGTCCCCTCTTGTGGGACACTCCCAAGATTGCTTAGCCCCGTCTTGCCCCACAAAATGTGCCCCAGTAGCCAAGGAGTTACTTCTCCACTTGGGTAGCAGATTTTGAGGTTCACACTCTGCCATTGTGCCTTCCTGGACTCTTTGGATTTCCTGTTCTCATCCCCAACTTGCTCCACGGGTATTAAATTTGAATCGTCTCTTAACTCTTCCTCTAGCACAGTGGTTTTCAATCTGTGGGTTGGGACCCTACAGGGGTCAAAAGGCCTTTTCACAGGGGTTGCATATCAGATATTTACATTACTATTCATAACAGTAGCAAAAGTACAATTATGAGGTAGCAATGAGAATAATTTTATGGTTGCAGGGGAGGGGGTCACCACAACATGAGGAGCTATATTAAAGGGTCGCAGTGCTAGGAAGGTTGAGGACCACTGCCCTAGCACCTGCTATCTGACTCATATTAAGAGATCAGAGCTGTATCGCTCACTGGCTGGCCTTGTGGGTGGCAATGAGCCTGTCTACCATGCACATGTTCCAGGACTTCTCCCTTCACTCATGATTGTATCTGTATGGAATGTGCAGCCGGGATGACATATTTCAGGGCAGACAAAACTCTTTTGCAGCTTCTCAACACAGATTGACTGTCTAGGCAATGTCTCAGGTTAAAATGGCATTCAGGGTGCCCGGAGCATTTGTGTAGGTATTGACTCCATTTATGTTTCAATTAGGCTAGGCTGGCTGTACAGGGACCCCCAAGAATCCCCTTGTCTCCACCTCCTCAGTGCTGGGATTACTCAAATGGTACTATATCTGCCTTTGATTTTTTTTTTTACATTAATTTCTGTTTGTTTCATTCTGTTTTTTAGGAGTCTGGGAACATGTGGAGGTCAGAGAAAAATTTTGAGGATTCACTTTTCCCTTTCCACCACGTGGGTTCTGAGGACTAAAGTCATTGTAACAGGCTTGGTACCAATCATCTCCACCCACCGAGTCATCTCATCTCCCTACACCCAGCTCTATGGGACTTTCCCACCTGGATTCAGACTCAGGCCTTCACACTTGTGCGGCAAATGCTTTACTGGCTGAGCTATTTTGCGAGCCCAGAACCACCTTTTATGGCCAACGATGCTACCTACCCTTTTAAATTAAGCAAACCCACAAGGAAGGCCAAGTCGCCTCTTGGGGCTTGCCAGTCTCAGGACCATATGGGACTCCGGGCTTCTGTCTCCACTGTCTCCCTGCTGTCTCTCAGCTCCATGTCCCTTCCCTGTTTGAGACTGAAGAAGCTGTCTGAGCTTCCCTTCTCAGACGCCCTTGCCAGCTGGCTCTTAAAGGAGACAGGGTGGGCTGCCTTCCTGCTTTCCAATGCCAATCAGCACGGCTGGCAGACGTGGAAGAGCGCCCTGCTGCCCACTTAATTATGCTTCCTCTGGCCACGCTGCGCTTGTATAAAGGCAGTAGCTGTGTTGGAGACCCTTTGCGGCTGTACAGCCAACCATGCTCTCTCTTCTCTTTCTTACCCCAAGAGATTTCTGTACTCTTCATCATCCGAGGGCACTCTGCTGGTGCCCACCTTGGAGGCCCAGGCACCAGCAGAGCAAAGCTGCCCACATTGGACCTGCTCCGCCAACAGTTCCTGGCCTTCAGCAGTGGAGCATGAGCTGCCCGGTCTGGACCCCCTGCCTCCGCCACACAACCAGCATCTGAGTGGAACACCTCCCTCCAGCTCCAAGAACTTCCCCACACTCCACCCCGTCCGTCTACAGCCCTGCGGATGGTCCTTACTGCCTGCTAGGAAACCTCTTGGTTTCTCAGGCCTCCCCCTTTTGTTTATTCAGCTTCCCCACACCCGTGGAGCTGATTCTGCGCTTGGTGTGCCTGGCATGGTTTCTGTTTTCTTGACTAGAACATGACTCATGCCCCCCTACTGTTACTGGACTCAGGGTCACAACCTGTGCTTTAACAAATAGGGTTAGGTCACCCTTGATGAGTTAATTTAAAAAGCCAAATTAACAGTGATAAGCAGAAAAGGGAGATTTATTTAATGTGGCCCCGTTGGGAAGAGACAGGGAGATCTGATGACCATCCTCCTAATCCATCTTTGAGTCCTGAAGTGAGGGTGACATTTAAGTAGAAGATCAAGGTTATGCATGTTTAAGCAGTCCCTAGTCAAGGTGTGGTCCTGACCACCACTGACTTGCCATTGCCCATCTGTACGGTGGCCTGTCAAGTGGTCGATCCCTTTCTTGGAGAAAAGTGTCCTCTCTGGCTGTCCCAGGCTTTAGGCTTTCTTTCTTTCCAGCACAAGGTTCCTGAGGAGGAATTTCCCATTTATTGGAGTCCATAGCGAGGGAGCCATGTGTCCCTTCAGAATATCTTCAGCCCTGCCAAGTCTGATTGATCAGGGTGTTAGAAATGGAGCATGTAGGAAACAATATGGTGTTGACTTGCCTGTTGCTATGTTAAAATGAATTCTGAGACCCCGATGAAATCCTGTGTTTTGTCAAGTGTGGCACACAGGGGGATCCTAAGTAATCTTTATATATGCTGGCTTGCAGCAAAATGCTTGTGTTGGTCAAATGGTGGCTTCTGATAGAAAATTACAAGCTCGGGCCTTTAAAGCCTCAACTCGGGTTATTGGTGAGCTAACTTACCACACACAGGATCTATAGATGTGCAGAGTCTATAGATATTCCTGATAGTGGGAGGTGCAAGCTGCAACAACTTCTTTTTTGCTTTGGAAATGAAATCCTGGCATTTTCTACATCTCTGGAGCCCCTGGAAACTGGAGAAGTGCTGTGGGGGTGGGTGTCTCAGTAAGGGCTCCGGGTATGAAGATATTTCCACCCTATGTGATTATTCACTCGGTGACATTTCCAGTAAGCTCTCAATACTCAAATGAATACAGGATGCACCCTACTTGTAGACAGAGCTGCCCCTCCACCTTCTCGGCTGCTTATTCAAGGGCCCATGTGCAATATGTTCATTTTAGCAGTCCATGCATTGCTCCGGATATGGCCTTTTCCTTACCAAGGTAAAGTGAGTTGCAGCATCACAGAATGTGTAATCTGTGGAAAGCAGAGACACACACTGAGTCTTAACTGTGAGGGCCCCCTGTAGGCAGTAACTCCACTGGATTCCTTTTTGGAAGGGTAGGAGCTGTTGGCTGCTGACCCTTTCTCTAGAGGGCATTGTCTCTTCCCTGCAGGGTTTTGGCCACATTACTGTCTGTGGATGTCTGGAATATCTTAGCTGTGCTCTTGAGTTCTGGTCATAGACTTTATTTCATAGCAAAAGAAGTAATGCATCTGGCTTAGTAGAATGCTGGAATGGACAGATGAACCGGTTTTATAGAAGCTTTTATTGTAGCTACCTGACTTTATAATTTCATCTCTGGCTTACAGAAGCCCAGTGGCATTGCAAAGGAAGTGAGGAGAAGAATTCACAACAATCTGAGACAGGGACGGGACTGTGGGGACTCTGATCCTTGCCCTTTTGGATTGTCTTCATCTGTAGCAAAGATTGTTGTGTCTCATTGCATGGAAACAGGTTGTTACTGCCGTGTGAAATGTCAAGGAAGAGTAGATTGTGCATGGATATTGACCAAAGAGCTTGTTACTGAACCACCGTTATGAGAATGGATGTCGAGGGCAATTCTATATTCTGTTCTGGGATTCTGGGGCTGAGACCGGAAAACTACACGTCTCAATCTCCTTTGCCAGCTTTCTGACAGGTCTGCTTATCAAAACACTGAAGGAGAATTGGACAGTGGGATACAAACCTACAAGGAACTTTCTTCCTGTTCTCTGATTCCTCCTCAGTGCTTCAACATGTGCAAACATTAGGCTCCAACTACCACCTCTCTGACATTAGTGGGGTAAGTCTTTCTTCTGATGGTCATCCCAGCTTAGTCTTCAGTGAAACACCATGCCTTCCAGGAACAGGACCTCATACACACTAGGGCAAGCGCTCTAGCCTACCCTGTCCCTCTGCTTCTGTTTTTAATATCTGAGTTACTCAAGAATCTGTGTTTTGTCTTTCCAACATCTGTGCAACCAATTCCCCATGGGATTAAATCCTCTTTGTTTGGAATGCCTGACGTGACTTACACTTTTTCAGAGGGCCGGAGTTGGATTCCCAGCACTCACACCAGGTGGGTCACAACCATCTGTAACATGAGGTCCAAGGGATCTGATGCTTTCTCCTGGTCTCCATGGGCACCTGAATTCACACACACACACACACACACACACACACACACACACACACACACACACACAAACACACTTAAATGAAAACAAAGTTATTTATTTATTAAAAATAACTCTCCTATTAGCTATCTAATCAGCAAGGATAGCTAGCAAGATGATCCTCTGCCCAGTGTTCTTGAAAGAGACAGAAATGGTTTTCTATGGGTCCTAAAAGATGGCATATGCTTTTTCCTCATCTCTCATTCCTTCTTTATTCCTTCATCCCTAGCCTCCAGAATATTGTGTCTCATCCCTACCAAACTGCTAGCCTTTTCCTGACAATCACTTCTAAATTTGATAAGGGAGAGAAGCTTATGGAGAAAGAATCTAGAACTGACTTGTTTTGGAATGACTGCTACATTAAAAGATATTCTTGAGGCTACCAAAATTTTCCATTCACAAAAAGGAAGCATGAAAGTGGGGCTAGTGGATGACATATGATTACCTTGGAAAGGCTACACTGTTCTACTCTGACCAAGAGACTGTAGGTCCCATCATAGTATCTCGGGATTCTGAAATATTTATCACCTCACACAGGGTATTACAAAAATTAAACAAAATAAATGACTCTTGATAAGTCTAATGTAAAATGTCTCTTTTTAGTAACATCAAGGACAGAAAAGGCCTTCCTCTGGCAGCTGAGTATGTGTCGACCTCAAGGCACCCTTTGTATTGCTTGTTTAATATTCTGGTTAGTTTTTTTTTCAACTTGATGCAAGTTAGACTTATCTGGGAAGAGGGAGCTCAGTTGAAAAAAAATGGCTCTATTTATTGACTTGTTGGAAAGCCTCAAGGGCATTTCCTTCATTTATGCGGAGGGCCCAGCTCATTACGGGTGGTGCTGTCCCTTAGGCAGATGGTCCTGGGTGTAAAGGAAAGCTGGCAACATTCTTCCACAGCCTCAACTTCAGTTCCTGTCTTCCGTTCCTGCTTTGTGTCTCTGCCCTGATGTCCCTGGATGATAAACTGTAAGCTCTAAGGTAAAATCAGTGCTTTCCTCTCCAAGGGGCTTTTGGTCATGGTGTTTTGTCACAGCAATCATAAATCAAACTAAGACATTAGGTTTGTATCAGGAAGATGCTTTTAGCTGTAGATAACAGACTTTCCAACTCATAGTTACGCAAATAACTCAGCAATTCCACTCTGAGCTATACACCTCAGATATCTGAAAAAAAATGACTATGCAAAACCTTGCATATGAATAGTCATAAGATCGTTATTTATGACAATAAAATATTCAGGAATTAATGAACAAATGAGCAAAATACGGTGTAGACACATGGTGGGACATCTTTCATCTATTAAAAAGGAGCAAAGAACCAGTGCATGTTACAATATGAATGAACCTCAAAAACTTTAGGAAATAAGCCCTTTCTAAGGCCAGTGTATTCTGACTCCATTTTTGAAATATGGACAATTCCATGAAGAGAGAGATGTGTGGGTTTCAGGATAGAGTGAAAAGGAGGATGCGTGTTATGATTTTAATATGACACGTCACTCATAGGCTCATGTGCTTGAGCACTTGGTGGGTCTCTAGCTGGTACACTGCTTTGGAAGGTTGCGGAACCTTTAGGGTGGAGCCTTGTGGAAGGCGTGGCCTATCTTGAGGTCTTCAGCTTAGCTCTCTATCGACCACTCTCTGCTTCTGGACCACGGATACAGTGTGACCAGCTGCCTCATGCTCCTGTGGCCACTGCAGCTGTGTCGCAGGGGCTGTACCCCATGCTGTAACCCAAGCGAACCCTTCCTCCTTCCAGATGTGTTTGCCAGATGTTCTGACATAGTAATGAGAAGAAGAACTAATACAGACCTGAGAGGTAAAGGGTTTCTTTGCAGGTAGTAGAAATGTTTAAAAGCAACTTGTGGGGATGATTTTACAATTCTAAAAAGAGTCTAAAAGCCGAGGCATGGTTCACTCTGAATGAGGGAATTATGGAGTAGATGATAGTTTGATAATTAAGCTGTCACCAAAAACCCTTACTTGAATAATCAGAAATTGTTTCTCAACAATTTTGCCTGCATGTGTGCCTGTGTGTAGGTGTTGGATCCCCTGGAACTGGAGTTACAGGTAGTTATAAGCTGCCGTGTGGGTGCTGGGAATTGAACCCAAGTCCTCTGGAAGAGCAGCCAGTGTTCTTAACTACTGAGCCATCTCTCCAATCCCCACTTTCAGCTTCTTGTAACTAAGCAATATGAAATTTTACTTTTAAATTACTTTATTTTAATTTGATTGAGTTTGTTTGTATTTGTTTGTTTGGGGATTTTTGAGATTAGGTCATATAGCCCAAGCTACATGACTCACTTTGTAGCTAAGAATGGCCTTGAGCTCCTGATCCTCCCAATTGTATTATTAGTGTATGCCATCATATTGGTTCCATTCTTATTGTATTATTTTTAATTTTTTAATTAAATTTAATTTATTCAGTGAGTGTATGTGGTGTGTGTGTGTGTGTACACAGGTATACCACAGCTCACATGTAAAGGTCAGAGGACAACTTTCATGAGTTGGTTCCCTCTTATCATCGATTTCAGGGATTGAACTCAGGTCATGAGAGTTGCAAGGCAAACCCCTCTCCTGCTGTGTAGTCTCTCCAGCTCTGTTTTATTTTATTTTTTATTGCCAAGATTTGCACTGGCATCAATGTGTCCAATTCAGGAAGACTCTGGTGGAATGAGCACCCTGGCCTTTCCTACCCTCCAGGCAGTGTTTGGAGCTGGGCAGAGTTGGCCCAACTCTGCACTGCTGAAAGTATCTGACCAGGAATGGGCCAGCAGGCATGAGACTCAGGCTGGAGCCCTGGTGTGAGGGCACACCCTCAATCTTGGCTTCACCTACCTCTCTGGTTTCCAGTGCTGATCTTGCTTAGCAGACATTGGCAGCTGGTGCACACGAGCCGCCCCGGTCACATGTGGTTGTATTTACCACGACAGAACTTTGAACCGACCTCAAGCTGCGCCAGTGGGGAGATCAAAGTCAAGACTCGAATGTATTTTATAAACGGTGAACTTCGGTGAAGAAACAAAACTCATTTAAACCGAAGCCAAGGGGCGGGTTCTGTTTTGACTGATGCCGAAAACAAAGAAAGGAGGTGGTTTCCCCTGTGCGTTGTTTGGACTCTTTAAAAAGAGCCTGTTTATTAAAGTCTGTACTTTCAAATAAACACAGAGAGCTCTCGTGTTCTCTTTGTAAACACGTTTGAGTCCTTTGAAGCCAAGAATAATGAGTGTGATAGAGAAGACTGTTGAGCCTCTCCTGGGCTCTGTGTTGAGCTCACTGGCTCTTGCCGTCTTGAAAACTCGCTCTGCAGAGAGGTGTTTAGAACTGACCCCACCAGGTGGAGGGAGAGGGAAAACACTCAGGTGCTGGCGTCCGTCCGTATTCAAACCTCTGCCAACAAGCACCTTTCTCTGGAGCACCACACAGCCAGGGCCGCGGTCTGCAGCCATCCTGCGGGCGAGCACCTGCCTTCCTGGCCTCTGGCCAGCGGTGTGTTGGTACCTGTTGGAAGTTTACCTCTGGGGCAGAGGAGAGGCACATGCTCACTTTAGGGCATCACCCACCTATCATGCTCAGCACCAAGTTTCCCACCACCCACCACGGGCACAGCCAAAGAGTGAGGCAGTACTCATAAGCCAGCCAGCCAACCCCCAGCACCAGGGCTCTATCTACCCCTCCAGAACCGTTCCTTCCTGGGCCTGGCTGTTAACAGACAACTTCGCATCGGCAAGCATTTACAAGTAGCAGTTTCCCCTCTCTGAGAAAACACTCTTTGCTTTTTGAAATGTGCCCTGGCCCCATGTGGTAGAGATACGGCCTTCCATGTTCTCTGTTCCCCAGCAGGCAGTGGTCCACCACTGGGCTATTTTGGTCACTTCCTTTGAACAGTTCCTTCCTTGAATTGTTCGCATGGCATTGTATGATTCACGGAGCCAACTTCCTTTCCCCTCTTGGGCAGCTGGGAAAATCAGGCTCCCGTTATGTTTTTTCTTTTGTTAGCTGCACCTGGCTAGGCAGGGCTGGCTGAGCTGGGTCTCAGTGTCCAGCCCTTGCAGTGATTACAGCTGTTTCTTGGGGTTGAAGAGAAACTGGATAGGGGCTGGGCTTCTCCATGGGGAACAGCCTAGCTCCACGGAGTTGTGGGGTCTCGGTGGGTACGTAGGAGACCCAACTCTGCCATAACCCCTAAGGCAGGACTTGTCCGAATGAAGTGTGGATTTTGAAGAGATGGTTCAAAAGACAGATGCTCAAGCAGTGCCGTGCAAAGCATCTGGACACTCAGTTGGTAATCTGTCCAGGCCCATGGCAGTGCCAGGGAGAACCAGAGCTCAGCTCCCTGTAGGCAGCCTGACACTCCCAAGGCCTCTTCATGAGTGGTTCATTAGGGCTGAGAAAACTGTCTTGGAAATCAAGTAGCTTAGCTTCATCTTGTTTATTTGGAATAGACACCCATAGTGGTTCTTCTCACTGAGGCAAGTAAAGCGGGGGAACTAGGGAGATATAACGGGGCCTTTGAGATGTCTTAGCTTGCCAAGGTGCTTGCTACCAAAGCTGATGAGCTGAGTTCGATCCCCAGAACCTACATGGTAGAAGGAAAAAAACTGATTCCTGAAAGTTCTCTGACTTCCACATGCATGCTTCAGAACTGGGCCTGGCCAAGCCAGAGGTGTAGAGAAGAAACAGAACTTTACCATTCCAGGGACCCTTCAGGTTTGATGGTTTCCTGTGACAGCCAGCTTGCAAGGCTGAGGTGCCTCTGCAGATTGGTGCAGCTCCGCTTGCTCTTCAGGTTCCAGGCTTTCAAACCCCTCCCTCATAGCTCACATTTTTATCGCCTAGCTCTTCCTTTCGGGACAGATGAACCAGCCAGCTAGTCAGCCTGTTGTACTTTGGCCCTTGGGCTGGACTCAGAGCTCAGGCCTCCTCCCTGAGATCTCAGACACCAGATTCCAGAGGGCCTGTCCCATGGCCCTAGAT